TAAGCTCAGAAAGAGTTTGACGTGAGTGTTGCGAATTAACAGTGAAACCTCTTGTTTCGAACATGGTTATAAACCATAAGTATATGTCGAAATGTTTTATCTTATCGTAATTTTTTTATTAAACACCTTATAAAATTATTTTTATCGCAATTTATTAAATACCTTATAAAATATTAAGACTAATGTCATTATTCTCGTTATTTAATTGCAATTCCAATTTAGTATTTTATACCTGATAGAATTTCTCTAAAATGAACACTATTAAAATGTCTCAAGTATCAATAATTTCCTCTTCATTTATTCATTAACAATATTACATAATGTGAAATTATTGCTTTCTACCAGTTTTCTAAAACATTAATAAAATGTTGGCTATACTAACCTACGTTTTATAGAATTTTTAATTTAAATTCGTTCCACTTGTTAATACCTAGGTCTATATTCTTATTACATCTTTTTATATTACCTTAAATGCATATTAATTATGTTAAAAAATGACAAAACGTGTTAAAAGAAAGTGTAAAAAGAATATTATTTTATTATTAAAAATTTCCGAGTGGGGAGCTATTGCTAATTACATATTAGGTAATTTTTAACAACTTTACTATATAAAAAACTGGAACTTGGTTTTGTCATATACATTTATATATACACTCACTCAATTGTAGTGCCATAAATATTACATCATCATACACAATAAATCTTCAAGTTTTCTACGCTGGTTATTTCGTTTTTCTATCGTTCTTAATTTGGTAATCGATTTTAGCACATCTGTTTACAACTTTTATGTGTATAATTTACTATAAAGAAAGTAGTTGAAAATTATGTCCGCAAAAGCAACCCACAATTGCAATTTTTGCGTGATGTTGTAAGTATTATGTACAAGTATACTTATATAACATTGAATTGAAGGTATTATAATTGTATACGACTGAAGTAATTTTGGAAAGACTTTGGTTATGTATGCCTCCAGAATGTACTTACACATAATATTTGAATTAAATAGTTATTATTGTAAAAGTATGGTGAGGTAACATAAAAATTAAAATTTCAAAATTTAAGTAGGTACTTATTGTATAAATAGTATTTGTTGAACTTATTTGTTGAAGCTTCGTTTATTTTAAAAAGAGAACATTATATTATTATTTCATAGTTATAAAACTGTTAACAATAGAGTTTGCCTAGATCTAGTGTGGATTAAATTATTCAATAAAAAATTTTTGTACAGATTAAATGGATTTGTTAAATCCCCATTTAAAGAGTAATAGCATATACATATGTACACAAAATTTTGCATAAGGTGGCAAGTAATTTCAGGGATGATTTTCTCATAAATTTCTGGCAAAAAATTGTATGAGGAAGGAGGGGGAGGGCGTGGGGTGGTTCGGATATAATCGTTTTTGAATTACAGCCTGTTAAAAAATGAAGATACCAAATTAATTTCAAAGAAAGTTAAAATACAATTATTACTTTTGCAACTATTTAATTCAAAGCATAATATTCAAAGAGAAGCCAGCTTATCGTGAAATATACAACATTAAAACTGTGTAATTTTAACCTTGTAATTTTACCCTTGTAATTTTACCCTGGCAACTGAATATCGAAGAAATTTTCCTGAAGTCTAGGTATTTAAGTTATTTTAAATGAAGCTATTTTAAGCTTTATTATTTTATTTTAGACATTATTTTTTTTAATTTTATTCTCAATCTGCAACTAAAGAGGATTATGAATAATTTTTTCTAATTAATTTTATTTTATTTTTATTACTAAAACTAGAATAGTTTTCCGTACAAAATTCCATGACTCAAAGGCGTGTAAAAATAATATGAAATTTGAGATTTTCATATAAATTTTGTTCCTTAAATATTTTTAAAAATTAAATTAAAAATTAGAAATTTGACGAAAAAGTAGAAAAAAAACTACAAATTTAATTCAATTATAAAAGTTTTTATTTTTACATCCAACTGAGAAATTGTTTTATGACCATTTAAAATAAAATTATCTTGTGCATTTTGTTAAAGTGTCAAATTCCAAATAAAATTTATCCTTTTGGTAAAATTTTAAAATTATCATTTTTAAAATTTATAATTTATTACAAAATTTTATTATTACAGCATTTGTTTGTAAATTAAATTATAAAAGAAAATTCTAAAAATAACCAAAGTATTTTTAATTTTACATACAGCATATAAGACTAAAATGTGACAAAATAGATTTATTTTTCAATATACATCGCCTGATATGGGCATGTGGGTGCTTATATTATATATACCACATAATATGAGTTAATACAGAAATAAAGTTTAATTTAATTATATGGAGCATTAGAACTTCCAGTTGATATTATCAGCGTTGTAAAAATTTTGAAGTGTAATAATAAAGATTTTGAAGTTGAATTGCAATGATCTCAAGCTCATTCCTTAAATGAATGAACTATTAGCCAAGAAGAAGAATAGAATGTTTTCTATATCTGCATTTTAGAAAAGCTTCAATAAATAAAACATAGTTGAATGGCCGAACAGTAAATGAGTATATCATTAAAATAAAAAATTTAAGGAATTCTGGAAGAAAAAAAAAAAACAAATCGACTACGAAGTTTATTCATATTAAATTCGGAATATCTAAGACAATGAGGAACATTTTTACGCAAGAGAAAAGCAGCTTGTGTCAGAAGAATTGCTCGATTCTCGCAAAATTCTTTGACTTATACGAAGAATAGATTTAAATGCAATGTTATAGCTATGTATGGTGGTTGACGGTTAGGTACTTAAAATCTTCTAATAGTATACTTCTTAATTAAGAATGCAGTATCCTCCCGATTTGCTATTCTAAGGTATTTACAGCTAGGGCCAGAGGTAAAATAATAATTAATTCTTCCTTTTTCCGTATAGTCCTCTATAATGTGCTCAATTAAGACTTGATTCATTGACATATACAAGATTCAATTATTTTATTAATATTAAATTTTTTATTTATTTTTAAGCTGATGGCTCTCATTAAAAAAAACAGGGAAAGAGGCAAAATAATATTTTTATATTATGCGCGCAAGCATACCGTTATTGTTTCATCTGTTCCTTTTAGATTCAACTCTTTTTTTCCGCTCTCTCTATCTAATGCATTTTAGAATAAATTCAATTTTTTTTTTATTATTTATTTTTTTTTTACTTTAAAAATCACGTCCTCTTTGACAATAGAATAGAAATTTCAACAATAAAAATGTTTTTAGAATATTTCTATGATGGCATTATGTGGTTATGTTAAAATAAAATTATATTTTCTTCTCTTTGGAGCAAAGTGATATTAAAAGAAAATTGCCTGATCAAGCAAACTTTTTTAGTATTTTTATAACTATAGAATATTATTAACATTTTTTTTTCTAATTCTTTATTGCCATTATGCATAATATGTCTGCATATGTGTTTTGTACATTATTGTATTGTATGAACAAATTAAATTTATATCATTTTATAAAATATTCTATTATACTATTCCAACTATTGTTATATTTGTTAAAAAAAAAATAAAAAAAAATAAACAAAAATTATTTGAATATGACAACAGTTGAGAGGGAAAGGAGATGTGGGAGTTAGGCAGTCTGAAAATAGTCATAGTCAAAGAATAGTTTTTAAAATTATATAAAAAGCATATTAAAGATTTTTTAAACGCGTAATCAGATTTGTTTTTTTTGTGTTCATGCAAAATGCATTTATATTCAAGAAAAAAAAATTTTAGGGGTGAGACTTACATTGGGACTAATACTAACTTAGATACCATTTCAGTAATAATTATTTTTAAAACTTTATTCGCTTAATTTATTTTAATGAATTATTCCAACACTCTAACTGAAATAAGATCTAAATTTTCTTACTGTAAAAAAATCGCTAAAATTTGGTGGTCCGCTTCACAGAATATACCCCTTTGAGCCGCCATTGTACAAAACTTTAAGTTGATACAGACAAATAGAAAAATATCACTTATACATATTCGGAGAGCGTCATATAATAAAGTTGAAAAAACCATAGACTTCAAAATCCAAATACAAAATAAGAGTTTCGATTCTGTCAAATTCACAAATTATCACTTGATTTTTATCAACTTATCACTTAACCAAACACTAATGGTTGAACAAATGATTTAACAAATTCTAACTGTTAAATATGACGACGATTCCTTCTACGAACCAATGCAGTCCACCAGTACAATTTAAACTATTTCTCCTTCATAGTTTTAAAAAATAATTTATTCAATTTAAAAAAGAATCATATTGAATGTTTTAAAATGAGAGAAAAGAGAAACCATAATTATCATAGTATTATGCAGTATTCTATTGAAAAGGATTTGCAACTATTATGCTATTCAATACACGCAAAATATTTCGGAAGCATTTCGGTCTTTTGGAATCATAAATTCCTTTTTCTTCACTTCCTAAAGGACATTTTATCATTATTATAATTTTTACTTTATTCCGAAGATAGCACAGTTCTGTAACATATTACTATTATATTTGCGGTAAAAGAAAACTGTTATACAATAATTCAACATTAAGTTCGGAAATTGTCTTTTAAATTGAAATCTCTTTATAATACGAGCTCTATAATATAACATTATAGCCGTATTTCAAGCCCATATTTACAAACATGTAAAAAATGAAAATTGTTTTGTTGTTAGTTCTGATTTTAAAATGAGATCTAAACTATTTGCATACAAAGTCTAGGTTATATAGTGTTACTTTTCATTATGTTAAAGACGAGCTGGCTTTTGAGCTGTTTTTTATACCATAGTGCTATGTATAATATGAGAGTTTCGCATTAAATATGTTATGTTTCAAAGGATTTCTATTACAGAAGTTTCCTTTTCAAAATTTAGAAAAAAAACTTGTCAGACCTTGTAATCCAAATTTTGCAAAACTAAGAATTTCCCTATTATACATTTTAAAAATTAAATATTATTTAGAATAATTTAAAATAAATTATTAATTATAATTTTCTATTTCGTTTCAGGTAATAATTTTAAATAAATAATTTCTGAAAATCAATCACGCTTAGACTCTTTGTCCTGAGGTAAGTACTGCAATAATAATATTAATTATATAAACCCTAGTAAATATTTAAATTTCAAGAATAGCATCCATCCATTTTAATTGTATTGCAACCATTCTGAAAGTAAAAATCTGCAATTGCTGCAGGTTAAGAGTGAGCAAAAATGAAAGTGGCGAAAGTATTTTTTTTCAATGAATGCATTTTGATGTTATTAAAAATCAAAATCAATCGAAAAACTTATTAGATTCTCCTTAGATTTCACTTTTATAAACTCACCAAATTAAATAAACTTTTCATTAATTTTTAATGCTCTGTAAATACCATAAGAATTCCAACACTGTTATACATACATTTTGTTCGTTTGGGAAAAAGAATACCTAATGGTACTAAACAAATTGTTTTTGGCAAAAATTCTCAAAAATAGCAATTCGCTTCCTTGGTACTCGTATTTCTTTCTTTTTTTTTAGCTTAAAAACCATTTTTCGATAACCTTTTCGCTTACCTTATTTAACTGATAATCTTTTTTCCTTTTCATGCAATGAGCATAATTTTTTTGATGATTTTTTTTATTTGAAATTCTAAAACTCAAAAAAAAAAAAATGAAATTATTTGAAAGTACCAACAAAATTTTTTTTATACACACAGGACACAACAATTTAAAAATTTAAGAAAATTTTTATCATCTTTGCCTACATACATAAAATGGTGAACGGAATATTTTTGCAAATTATTATTTTACCTTTTATAATGAAGGGGTCATAAAAATTATCAAGAAAATGAACCGCAGACAAACATTTTCAAAATTCGATTTTAAATTTCTGCTTACAAATGAAATACACTTATGGCGATTATAGTTTGATCAACTCTAGTCAAATCACAATTAAAATGGTCGCCCAAATTCAATGGATGTTCAAATTTTAAGGACATCAAAATTACCGAATTTTTAACTCGTTTTCGAATTTCACTCCAAGCTATAATTATTCAAAAATATAATGTACGAAATAATTTTACAATTTAAGTCAACGAATTTTCAAGAATTTCGGCGAAATTTCAACAATTTTGTCAAAAAACACTTTCAAATAGTTGTAGAGCAAATTAAGAACAAATTTACGACGTCCTAATATCTAAGTATGAGAAAAAGAAATGTTAGGTATAAATTTTATGTGAAGGTACATAATTATGTTATTCGAACCGCTGCCATTACTAAAATGTTAACCACCCTGTAAAATAAATATAAATGTTATTTTAAAAAGAGTGGTGGAATTTTCGTGTAACGTAGTGTATACGAGTATAACCCCTCTTTTTTCTCTCTTTGGGAATTATCAAAGATATTTTTATTTTGTGCTCGAAAAAAAAAGAAGAGAATTGGGAAAATTAAAACTTCAAAGGTTGTTAAAGTTGTTAAAAACATATTTGACAAGTAACATTAACTTTAAATGTGGGTTCGTTTACTCATTTTTATATTTATTTATTTTTAATATTATTGCTTTTTTTTATTTTTATTTTTGCAAAATGGTTGTTCCTTCTTCGGTTTGTGTTGATGTAAATGTCCGATACTTGTCCAACAAGTATATACAAACATTTTTGTAAGGAAGAGAAAATTTTTTTATTTGGAAGGGGTTTTTTATTTTATTTAGATACATTATAGAATTTTGAAAGCAATTCCAAGGGTACATGGAATGAGAAAGTGCATACAAGTATAAATATTTATGAAGTTTATATTGAAAAAAGAGAAATTATTTGGTTAGGCACAAAAAGAATTGGAATGATGGTTATTGTAATGCCTGTAGGAAATTTAAAAAGGAAAAAAAAAATGATGGCAACGTTCATAATTGGACGTGTTTTTGAAATTTCGCAAAGGGTCATGAATTTGATTTGAAATGTGTACCAAAAGAATTCAATATTTTTAATTTTTCAAATAAATAAAATATAAATAGTTACTTTTTTATAGAAAATAAATATTTGAATACATAAAATTGTGTAGCTTCAATAATTGGAATTGATGCCTGAAATAAATTCAATTGAATTTTGTCCTTTTATGAACAATTTTTAAATTACAGGACTTTTTTAGGGCAGAAATCTCAAAACAACCACTTTGATAATTGAGTTAGTTTATGTTGAGTATGCGAGGGTTTCAACATGTTTAAAAAAATATTATGTTTGTGCTGTAAGTAACTACAAATTGTAGCCTATCTCTTTGATACAAGCAAACTCTCTATGCTTTTTCTGGAAAATTTTAGTCAGTTTAGTACCAAAGAAATGGAATAATAGAATGAAAACCTATAATTTTTTAATGACATTAAACTTAATTTTTAAACATTTGTACTTGTAGCAAATTTTCGGTTTAAACACTTCTTCTTCTAAAACTAAGAGTTTATTGATGATTTTTTTCAATACAGATAGCCTAATTCGATCGACCGTATAATATTTAAGCAACTTAATTGCAGTTTTAATATTTCGCGTTACAGTAGAATTATACAATGCAGTCGTTATCTTATTAATGCCCGACTCCTTAGTTTAAGCTAAATTTTAAATTAATAATGGGAGATAATTTTATATTTCAAAATTTTTTCTATTAATATCCTAGAATAAGCAAGATTACTTTCTTGCTTTTTCATTCCCACTCAAATATTAATACGCACATATGTACGACTTAATAGATTTAAAACAAATGGTATGAAAATGGCAATCAAACTCATTTGCATATTAATAAAATAACGATTTAATTATGGAGAAAATGTTTAGAACTTGTAAAATATTTTATTATATTATTTTTAATCTACTTACAACAAATTTAAAATTCAATTATTGTAAAATGGAAAATATGCAAAAGATAAAAATTTATTAACAGTTTAGCAGTGAACCATGTTCATTTCAAATTTACATTATTAAGTAAGCATATAATATATAGGGGACGTAATTTGTAATAGATTGTGGTTTGATTCGAATAGACTTTTATAATTTATATGTTAATTCTTTAATAGTAATATTCTGTTTATGGTATTGCATGTAAAATGCTTAATCCTTTGTAAAACTGTTAGGAAAAAAAACATTATTCATTGGTTAACAAATGATCCAACTTCATTCTATAGAATTGTTTCTAAAAAATATGAAATTACATGCTTTTTATCGTAATACCTATAAAATGTATAATTTCCATAATAGATGAGAAAGAATAGATGACAATGAATCTTGAATATCGCAAATCATTATAAAACTGAGGCTGAGAGCGATTTTCACAGTATGAACGTTGAACCGAAAAGAAAGTATATTTAACATAGAGGGAATCGGTTTTGAACCGTTCGTGTTTTATTTGAGTTTTATTAATTTTGTTTAGGTTTGAATACTTGGCTTTATCTTCCAGTCTGCAACATTTCAACCAAGTAGGAAAATTGAAAAAACTGGCTCCTATTTCGATCGCCTTAAAGATTAATTAGTTCATCTTTAATTGGTAGTATATTTCATGTTTTTAGCCTCTTCTGTATCAAATATCTTTGAATATAAAAAAAATTTTCAATAAAGTCATCATTGCAATTTAATTTCAAGTTTTTGTGACCACTAACCCCTAAGCAACAGTATGAGAATGGCTGTAATAAAGGTGACCGATCAAAATCTCACAAATAAAAGTCACATTGAGCAACTAAAAGCCAACGTATTAAGAAGTCTAGTGAGTTGAAATTTAAATTTATAAAAGAGCCCGTGAGAAAATTTTTGGTTTTATGAACTCAGCATTCATTTCGTATTTAATGTAATTACTTGGATTCGAAATTGAAGCAGTTGATGTATACAAAAAGTAATTAATTTCTTTATTATACAATCTATAAGTTAAGAACTACGGGCTGAAAACAATTGTTTTTTATATAAATTAATGAATGCAACGGGCAATGGTACGTACATAAATATTTCACCATAACTTATAAACCTTAAGAATTTCACTGATGAGTTCATTTTGAAATATGAAAATAAAAAACAAATTATAAAAAACAGAATTTTCCCAAAGAAACAATTCCTTTTTCTTATTTATGTCACTGTGATTGTCATCATCGTTCAATTGTGACATAAAAAAATTCAGTTTTTTTTTTTCCTCTTGCTTTCAAGTTCCCCCATTTCGAGAGTAATCAATAAAACAAAAGATAAAATTCTGATTTGAAATATTTATGAGAATTTTTTTTTTGTCTCAAATCAATATTCCAAAATTTTTAAATTCCAATAATTTTTGACTCCCTAAAATTAAGGCGAATAATGATTATGTTTAAATATTCTCTATAAAATAAAACAAAATATTTGAACCATAAGATTTTCAAAAAAAAAAAAAATTTATTTGGTCCTTAAAAAAAATTATACAATAATATTTCATTATTTTTTTTTATTACGATATTTCCTTTAAATTATTGAATAATTCAGATCCTGTACAAAAATTCCCGAAGGAATAAAAATAATGATTTATGCCAATTTTGCTTTTAAATTGTTTTTTTGTTAATAATCATCTCATTGTTAAGCGTGTCTATACTTTTTATACGATTCATTAAATATTATTTCATTGTTTTGACATTTTCCTTATGATGATATATGACTAGTTTCGTTTTTTGACAGTGGTGACGATTCGGGAATAAGTATAAACATTAGGGTCTTCATCGGATTGTAATTTTAAATGTTTGTTTTTTTGTTTTCTGGTTTTATTTTATGATTTAAAATACTTCAAAAAAATTTAATTCTTTAAATTTAACAAAAATTTTTAATGTTCTCAACTGTTGGCTCTTCAAATAAATTCTGGAATTTATTAAAATTTTTGAGTTTTAAGCGATATAATAAGTAGACTGCTCCAATATAAAACGCAAATCGTTATAAAAATTTAGTATTGTCAATTTGTAGTTTAATCAAACATTGTTTGATGCAACAATTTGTATGTAATTATTTTCGTTAATAACCAGTTTCTTGCATTCTTTGATCTAATATCAGAAATTTTAAAGTAAGATTTTCTAACTTGTGATGTGATGATCGCTAAAATAATTCCTGGATTCAGAAGAAAAATGGTCTAACCTTCACTCCCAAAATTTTTGTCAGAATATGCGGATTAGAACACTTTTGCACTGGAAAAAAATTAAATTTTGAATTTTGCCCAGAATATAGGAAATATTTGACTTTTTTATCTATAAAATTGAATTTGGGACCTAATTTTC